ACCAAAGTCTCGACGTTGATCGGAGACGACACAGCTAGTTAACGCGACGAGCAGCCTGGTCGAAGAGAGGTCCCGCAGGCGCGACCCTTCTGCAACAAGACGATCAACACCACGGACAGGCCATCACTGCTGGCATCGCACTAATCAGGCAGTGGAAAGTCGATCAGGACAGGGCCATCAAATCAGGTTATTGAAGATCTAGCGCAACACAGGCAGACAACAGGTTCAGCTGTTCGAAACGTCAGTCAGCCAATGAACCAGCGTCAGTCGACCAGGCTAGCCTAATCGTATTAGTTACATTGTCATCAGCAAATAAACTACCCACTATGAGATATTCACACCTGTGAAGGATCCGGAAATCTCGCCTGCCGAACGACTACACCTCCCCCCGTACGGTGTTTTGGGTAGTCCTTTCCAGAGACAAAGTGACTCACACCTTGTGCTGAGAGCCTTCCTGCTGTCGATAACGGAAGGAGACCCTTTTCCCCTGCTTACCCACTCATCTGGGAGGGAAACTTTGTGCGTGAGGTAGCAACTGCCCGTCCTTCGACCCCTTTCTCTTGACCCCTCCCCGCTTAACTGAAAGCCATGACGTCTTCGCGTTCTCGCGACATGCAGATGTAGTCCGCTTACGAGATAGAGGCCTCAGTTAGCTTTAGCAGATATCTCCTGAGAACAAATATGTCCAAATACCGAAGCATGCGGACGAAGGAGGGAAATGAGTGCTAGAGGGACTGCGTAGGCGAATTGTGTAGGGTTCAAATGAGGAATGATGAATTAAAAGATAGGGGGGGTCTGGATAATCCAAGTGACTGCTTAAAATAGCGCAGGGCCTCCAGAGGAAGGAGCTGCGGAAGAATTACCAGTAAAAACTCACCGCGATTGGAATGGTAAGAACCCACAGTCTTGCATGAATGGGACGGTTCAAGGATGACCAGGAGCACACGGCAACGAGGTGAAATGAGCGCAACGTGGCACATCATGCTCAAAACAGCGCAGACGGCGTTACTGTCATGCGCGCACGCCTCGGCACACAGGTTAGTTCCCTACTGTATTAGTCTACCTCGGACGTAATACGGGGTCTCGTTTACCCACAGACAGGCGTTCGTGACGCACGACGACGCTTCTTAGGAAGACGAACGTAAACTGGGATGAAGGCGAAATTCCGAGTTCCAAGTGTACGCATAAGTGAAGAAGAAGAATCGAGCACCGGAACACTTTGTTTAGTGTCCTGAGCTTTCAGACTCGTACAGGAGTCCATCGTTAGAGGTAGTAGCAGCAGCAACAGAACAAGCGGCAGTTATGCATGCCTTATAACTGTCGCTTGTTCTGTTGCTGCTACAATCTCTGACGATGGACTCCTGTACGAGTCTGAAAGCTCAGGAAAATAAACAAGGTGTTCCGGTGATCAACTCTTCTTCTTCACTTATGTAAGCCGGGATGTCAGATGAAAACTGGCAATACTTACAACTTTCCCAGAAACCCAAAGTTGTAGAGTAGACGAGAAAGCCGACCTAGAATCTCCGCCGTATGAGAATATGCAATAGTTTCAAAGGGCGGGGCTGAGCGCGCTCAATAAGCGAATAAAAAATGCACATCGGTTTCCCACAGTTTGCGATAACAAGCTCTCAAACCAGTAAATGCACGGACTACTCGGGGTACTCAAAATAAGTCACAGGTCACCTAGCGGTTGATGCGATTTCACTCTCTGAAACACCAGTGTCGGGCTGCATACAAACAAGTAAAAACGTTTGACAAAATTGCTACTGAAATAAAACAAGTAGCAATTGTGCATGACAATGGGCTAAACAGGCCGCAATCTGTCGAACGAACGGAAAATAGTCAGCGCCCAATCGCAAGAAATTCTGGAATGCGTTTCGATTAAGAGGGATTGCTTAAGCGGGGTTGCAACAGTGATCATTTTGCGGAATAATCCCTGATATTCCAGACAATCTAGGACGTTGGCTTTTGAATGCACTTCCTCTCGGCCACCTGTGAAAAACACGCCCGACAAAGACTACTTGAGTGGCATGCATTTTCTATAACCATTTTCGGTGCACTTTTAAATTTAAAAGTATGTTGCAGAAAACACGCACAAAACTATTACTTCCCGTATTTATTTGGAAGCAAAACACTAAGAAAGGGTATATTTCGATTTTTAAGGTTCCTAATTATTAGATTTCTTAAGACCATGCAACGTCCACTCGGATAGCATCGTGTCTGTCGGTTTAATAACTCGCCTCCTTAAGTATACAACATAATCCGCATCCTTTGCAACATTTTGTGAGCCCCATGCAGTATCTTCTTGACGGCTTAAGTGAATGTATGTTTTACCTTACGCGGAAAGTACAGTTTGTAGACTGAAAGCCCTAAACGCACATTTAACAGCAGATCGTGTCCAAAATTAATCGGGAATTGAAAAACTCTTGAAAACCGAAAAATATCATTTTCCTAGATTGAAGTTTCAAGAGGACTTATTTTGCTACCAGATAGATACAAGAAAAGGATATTTCTATGCAGTGCTCTGAATACATTTGCATTTCTAGAGGCTTCGAAAATCAATAGGAATACCACTTAAGCAGTCTTTTTACGGAGTGCGGTTTTTCAAGCGATGGGAACGAAGTGCAGTCGAAGGCCAACGCCCTGGCGTGCCTGAAATATTATGAGACCATACCGCAAAATACTTAATATTGCAGTCCCACGAGTAACCCTTCCTGATCGAAAGCGTACTTATGAATTTCGGTTCTGCGCCAGACATGTAGGCGTCATTCGTCATAATAAAAAGGGACAACATGCCGGCTTTCAATGCAGCGTTAAATTCAATCTTTTCCGACATACGCTCTACCATGGAAGGAGAAGTCACCAATTAATTGATCTTTCTTGACATACAAGCTACAAAACTGCCACACAGGAATATAGAGATGACAGTCAACCGTAAAGCGACTAACACCAGGTTTATTAGTAATGCTTGTCATTGTATACAACAGTACATATATGTTGCAACATTTTATGACCCCATATGCTATTTTTTAATGGCATAAAGGAATGTATGTTCTTCCTCGCACGAAAGATATACAGCTTGAAGACTGAAAACCCTAAACGAAAATGCAACGGCAGATCGAGTTTAAAATTAGTTCGGAATTGAGAAACGTTTTTAAAACCAAAGGCTACCTTCTTTCCAGGTATAAAATTTGAAAAAGACATCACTAGACACCAAATGAATACAAAGAATAATACTTTTATGGACGTTTTCTGCAAAACATACTTGGATTTACGGGGGCATCGAAAATCGATGGAGAGTGTGCATACTGCTTGATTAATCATTTTTACCGGGTGCGGTTTCTTGAAGGTGGCCAAAAAGAAGTGCGTTCAAAAGCCACCATCCTGACCTGTCTGAAATACCACAGAATCACGCCGCAAGACGATCAATCTCACAGCCCTTCCTGGTTGCAGTCGCACTTCAGAATTTTAATTAACATTTCATGAGGTCAACCGTTGAGTGCAGAATGACGTATGCAAATATGTGTTACCAGCTTGAGTGGTCGGAAGCATCCCTGTGGTAAAAACTCCCAATGACGGCAAAATTAAACTACTTACAAGCCAGCATAGCGTGCAGCAATCTAAGGTAGAACAAAATCTAATAAAGTCGCTTCGATGATCTAAGGTAATTTTCGGCCAAAGCTGGTGTGACCCATGAGGCTTGAGATTGTTCTGCGGGAGCAACATGGAATTCCTTTGGTTGCGCTTGAAAGGGTAGGACTTTTTAAACGGTGCACTCTTTGCTCAAATTTGCGAACATTACTGACGCCAGAACCCTCAATCAGTAACAAACGAGAGAACTTATCTGCCTTCGGTGAGTCCAGATGAATTGGCAGGAACGGACACCGGACACTCACATCTTTGAATCGACTTGTATGAGCGCTTTCCAGAAGGACTGTTGCATATATACACAGTCAAGGACACAAACCAGGACAAATAGCGAACTAAAAACTTTTCCATATGGCTTTAAATCAATTGGAACACCCGGAGAAGCCATACAGGACTAGCAGGCATACTGAAATGTCGCGGGAAGTTGGGCAACTTTCGAAGTCAACAGCATATAAAAGACCATAGATAAGCAGGAGGAACGCATTACTGAAATGTTGGGATATAACGCCGTAAAACGCCGAAATATGTAGGGAGGGAGAGCATGGCAGATACCTTTTTACGTAATGAGAGTGGTTTGGAAAATGCTAATGCCAACTTAGAGGGTTAGTGAAAGTCGAGCCGAGAGCAATTTGTTACCTTCTCAACACGAAAGAAATCAGATAGCTAAGAATGGTTAGACACTTCATTTGAATCGCCTGGGAGGGTTGCAAATACAAGTACGCCGGAACAGATGCCCTATCAACTTTTTATAATAAGAATTCGAGCATACGTGCTTATAACACGAAGGGCTTGGGTGGCTCATAAATCCTCAAATGACAGACACAAAAGTATGAAAAATTACGGTAAAGAAGCATATAGGTGCCAAAAGGGAACTTTACTTACTGTAGATGCCATGAGGAAAGAACAAATGTAAACAGAATCAAAAATTGCGATGAAGGATGCAAAACTAGGTGTGAAACGAGAGGGAGTCATCAAAAGACGCATAATCGGTCTCCATGCTCTCTTCCACCTCTATGGTACGAGTTATTTCCTCGAAAAGGTGGTTTATTGCAGCAGAATTTGGGTAACGTTCGAGCGCACGTAGAGAGCTCGATGGGGGACTGAAATTAGAGGCTGCAAGGTTGTGTGGGGCGGAATCAGAGAGCTGGCCGCGAGTGGTGTCACTGAAGCGTGAATTAGAAGCGGCTGAATGATCTAGAGAGCGGGGACCTTGAGTGGTGGGGGGCAAGGGTTCACCCAGGTCTGAAATATTAATGGGAGAGGAGGCAGAGACTTCGTCGTATTCCTCCTCCCCCTCTTCCTCTTCATCCTCTTCGACTGGCGTGCCAAAGCTGGAGCGAGTAGTGCTTAGCTGGCGACGGCTGGAGTCAGGGAACCGAGAAGGCTGACCGAGTGTCCGACCTGTCCGACTATCACGCGGTGTTGGAAGGGCTTGATCGAAATCCTGATGAACAAGAAAGTATAGATTTACTAAAAGAGTCAGCGGGTACGTAAAACATCTCCTTGGTAATGCGAGTTGACTGGGGATTGGAGGAAAGAGGATGGAACAACTATGGGATTGAAAAATGGGACACCAAAACCAGTTGTATGAATTACTGCATGTGCGTGCTGGGGGCACAGAAAACGTTGGAACGCGTTGAGTGCCAATGTTTCGGAACTCTTCCAAAATGGTAACCCCTTATGGATTCTAAGGAACTTTCGCGAAGTAACTCTACACAAAGTGATCTGAACCAAAACTTGCTGTTCGACACTTTCGATTATGATAAACAACGAAACAAGAGTTTACAAACATCAAAACTCGCCCATAAGTCGTGCTGCAATACAGTTCGCAAGATTGAACGCGTAATGTCATTGGACACAACTGAACCACTGTTCAATAAGCCCTCCTGGTTAACTGAATAGCATAGAGCGTAGCAAAACTACTTTACCGTGATTGAAATCGCCTATACACAGAGTTTAAAGAAGAGAAATGACAGGCTAGGGAGCTGATGCGTCGGAAGTTACCGGGATATTCGAGAAACGGGGAAATGAGTGCAGAAGTAATTTCCTTAGCCAGTACTAGCGACAGAACGAACTGGAAATCGATACCCCAGCCCGGTGTTTATTTCCATCTACATAACCTTGCCTGGAAAAGGTGGTAAACGCATTGAGTTATAACAGTGATTTGCGCAGAAGGGCACAGAAATGAGCCCGCGTGACAAGTAGATTATGAAATAATAATAGACTTGACTCGGGGGAATGAGGCATGGTGTATTATGGTACTAAGGCGGTCCATCGGCATAGCGTATCCAAGTACTTGCATAGACAGGGGAGACTAAATGCAACAAAAAATCAGTTAAAAGTCTAGTCGATCGACGGCTTATTAATTAAGGTTACTTTACTCTTCGTCCACGGGGCTCTGAGGCGACAGATAGGCAATCGTTGGGAAAAAACACTCCAAAGACCGTATAAGAAGTGGGCGGGCCCCATATTTAGAGACCTTACGAAAACCTCTTAAAGTCATTCAGAAAAATATGGTTGACGTTTAACACGCAATGGGCCGGAGAATTTAGTTTTTTTTTGGTGGGGGGGGGAGGAGGAAGAAATCAGAACTACCACGCTAAGTTTCAAGATAGTCAAAGCAAAAAGCTTCTGACGGTTATATTTTTGGTGCATGCTTCCAAGACGTATATACGAATAGTGGAAACATGAAGGGGCCAAAGTGTGATACACTAGAATAAACGGAAAGGGGTCCGAGATAAAGGGAAACAGTAGCCGACGTTTACAGATGATGAAAACGTAGGGGAAAAATACATGTTACGTAAAAACAAGGTTGGATGTCATTATGTTCCGGCCATTAGGGCAAAACGTTATTAATCGAAGACTACATGAATTTGAAACAGACATAGTACTACCAGCTTACAGGCGATGTTAGTTGTGACGCCGCGTGCTGAAGAGAAGCCTCGGCCTCTGCAATGACTCGTTCTTCATCAAAACCGTCCGATTCTGTAAAGATCGAGGGGGAAAAGTTGCACGGGAGAAGACGGGGAAAGTACAGACTGGAAGAAAACATGCTAATCCCAGTTGGTGCGGCGCCGTTCTAAGGGCGAGTCTTCTTTTACTTGGAAGTCGCCAGTGACGTAGTTGTAGGCGAGGAATCCAGCACACAAACTGAAACACGTCACACCGAAGACCATAAGAGGTTTGTTCTGTGACACAAATAAGAATGCGCAACGCGGCAGCTTACTGGTTTAACGAAAAGCTCAAAATTTAGCAGCCTGAATAAAGAAGTTGATGTAACAGAGGGAGCCTTCTTCTCTGGCATGAAAACTAAGGCCCGTTTTGGCCTCCCGGCACGTAAATTCTTGCTGTTTTCGCCTAAATTTCAGCTTAGTAAAATTAATGATATCATCCAATAATAATTTTCACATTGCTTCTTATTGTATTTAAGATCTGAACAAACAGCCATTTTTTTAAAAGGCATTTTTCTCTACGATAGGACATTTACGGCCTGAAATTTCAGTTACCGGCATTGGCCATACAACTCCACAGAATTCGAAATCTTGCTTAAAAACCTGCAACAAGGCTTTTACGTCCGTAATTCTGACAACCCATGCGTTTAATCCCTCCTATTCTCTGCCCAATTAGTTATACTGTCTGGACTTTAAGTCACTGGGCCCCGGAATAGTTGGGAGTCGATCAATGTGAACTGCGATGATACACCAAAGGCAGGAGGTGTATCAGAGCGTATTTACCACAGTGTGGCAAAAGCAGGAACGCAGTAAGAAGGCACACAGTAGACGGACTAGAATTGCGTGTAGGACCGCTGGAACAATACTCCACAAAACATGGAAACATGGGGAATGCTGTTAGAAAGCCGAGTATTGTACCTTCGTCAGTTCAGTATATGTGAGGAAAATAGGCCCACGCTCATGAATTTCCTAGTAGTAGCACACAAACTGAGACAATTAGCAGTGATGCAAAGAAATTACAGTTCAAGGAGAAGCAAACTTAGTTTCACATCAGTTAGCTCCTTGTTGCTGCTGCGGTGTCTGAGGCAAACCAACTAGTTAATGTTCTATCTACTTAAGTAGTTCACTTGTGATATACGTTAGTTCGACCGTCGGTTTGTGCGATGTCCACCGTCTGCTCCACAGCAGGGTAGGAGCAGGGACGGTGACTTGAGCGAAAATGTAGTTTATAGTGACAATAGATGTGCACATCATCTACCACACTCTCTCCTCCTCTTCTCCTGGACCCGGAGTTAAGGTAGAGTCAAGAAGACCGGAGGCGGGGGAGGGCACAAGTGGATGACGCTTCCCACATGCTTGGTGTTGAAACGTAGGTACCCATTTAGTGCCCTCAACACCGTGGGATCTTTGGACTGTTTTAGAGTTACGAAAATACCCATTTATTAATCGGCAAGTCGTTTTGCCACTGGCGAGGCCAGGGCTGGTGTTGACTGCGTCCAATCATGCCTGAGAGTCATTGGGACAGTGGCGGCAGCCGCTTTTTTAGACCCGTGGGTCAACCTCAAGTGGCCTCCAATTGGTGTGTGCTGCATTTTAAAGGGATGATGTCCCAGTGGCTTAGGCTCTGGTTGCAGGGGGAAGTGCGTTCAAGTGGCCGCATGGGCAGCTGCGGCTGTGTGGACGCAGGTATGCCCGAGCTGTCGGTCGTATGCCTTCAGGCCAGCGCGTCCGGAACTGCTCACTGTAAAAAAGCGAATGACCTTGAAGCAGCGAGGTCCTGAACAATGACGCCAGGCTGGTCATGATGACTGCCCGCTATAAGTTCACCCGAGGACAAGGCATAAAGGGCTGTGCGGATCATCAAAGAGCGGGAAGACGCGATCATGATGCTTCTCTGCTGACCCACCAAACTAATAGTAGATGGCGAAAACAGAGGAATCCTTTGCGGTCGTCAACAGATCGTTGGGGTCGCAATGGGGCGATGACGTTAAAATCCGCGAAAATCATCCTTCGCAAGGGGATATGGAGGAACAGGGTAGATGTTCCATCAGGGTAGAATGAAGGTATTGGGATGATAAGCGGTGGCAAACCAAAGGTGGGAGAGCCAGGGAGGGTAGGAACTCGAAGTCATAGAGGCCACAACGGAGCCCCGATATGGGTCGGCTGTAGGAAAAACGGAGGCGGCTTAGAGCGTGCACTTAAACCCGGCTCCGCTACTTCTTTAAGAAAATTTGTCAGGGAGAACATGGCGTTCTGTGAAGGACATAATGCATGGATTTAAAAAATCGGAAAATCAAAATTTCAGGAGAGAAATCGTGGAAAGCGAAACCACACACACAGAGGGAGAAAGAGATGTGGGCGGAAACGTTGGTTTGGAGACGATGTCCTAAATTCCAATGGCCCTTTCTCATAGTCACGAAAAAAGTTTCCCTGAAGGAATGAGGAAAATAACTCTTCAACCGAGTCAGCATTCAGACAAAGGCACAGTCTTCTCTTAAAAGTATGCGGACTATTTAAGAATGTTACATCGATCAGAAGGTTATTCAAAGAGGAGTATACCTGGAACGAAGAATATCGGATGCCCAAAGGTGGAAAAACGGGAGCAGGTAGGACAAGGAAGAACTACGAAGATTGTAGGAACGAATAGTAGGAGCAAGGGCTGAAGTCCGAGGAAGATATGGACTATTGTAAATGCGAAAGAGGAGACAGAGGCGTCGTTCTAGTCTCCGAACCCACAGCAATTTCGGGTTAGTAAGCTAGTATATATCTGAGTAGTAATTTTTAGAATGGGTTGTACTTAAAAGACATCTGGTTAAATGCCCTTGAACACACGGAATTTTAGGACGACTAGTCTCCTTCCTTAAACCAAGAAATGGTCAACAACATTAACGAATGGGTTTTCCTCCCATTCGCGAGAGTCTTACTCTGATTTCCGGAAGGCGGAAATTATGAGAAATAGGGCTTCAAATGTGAGCAGCTTCAGCCGTAGTTCTGTCGGTGTAACATCCAGTGATAGGTACGCCTTGAAGAACCACTGGTTGGGGTAGCCTTTCCGGCTCAAAACGCTTAAAACGACATTTTGATGGAGAGAATTCCATTAAGTATATCGAGCATCACGCGGAAAGAGCAAACAAATCAGCAAGGATTCGGTCCATGCAATTTTAAGCCGTAAATCTAGGGAGAGAATGTGGGCATTTGAGATCATCAACGTAAATAAAAAGTTGAGAATTTTTAACGTCGAGATACCATTAATGTAAAGCAGTCCTTTCTCACATGCCGTAAATGGAAAGGGCGGTGGGGTAATCGTATACATAACGGCAGGAATTTCGGCAGTTGAACAATCCAACACGCTCTCCCTTGAATATGAATCTAACTGGATAAAAAAGAAAAGTAAATTACGAAACCTATAATTCCTGACGATTTACAGACCACCAAACCTTCCGAGTGCAGCTGATGAGTCGCTCCTCCATTTAGTCAAGAAAGCGGCTAGCCACCAAGAAGTTCTTATTGCTGGGGATTTCAGTGCACCTGCAGTAGAGTAGGAAGCAATGGCAGTTGACGGTGCGCCAGTCACAGGCTAATGAGCATCGCACTCGATCTCCCTCTGGCACAGCATTTAAAAGCACCAACAAAATTTTGAGAGGAGCAGAGAGCCAGTTGCTTACACCTAGTACTTACGAATGACTTCTCTGATGTTGATGAAATGTATTCCAGTGCGCCTCCCGGAAAGAGTGACCATAATACGCTACTGTGAAATTACTCGCTTTTCTCTCAACGTTAGACGAGAACAGAAGGCCGTCCTAATATATGGAGGGAAGATTTCATCACGATGAAGAGCGAGTTGATGTCCATGAACTGGAATTGTTTGCTAAAGAAAGATCCAGATGACGACTGGAAAACATTTAAGGCGATTTAACACGATCTAATTCAGTGCTGTTGTCCAATGAAGCTACAGAGAACTACTAGTCGATCTGTCTGGTTAACCGGAGACTTGAGCAGAACGTTGCGAAAGAAAACTCATAGATTGAAGATATTCGGGGAAAGTGGTTCACCAGTGCACCTCAAGGAGCTTCTTTGTCAACGAAATGCAATCAAAAATGCATCCGTAAGGCACAGAAGGAGTAAGAATTCAGAATTTCCCGACGGACTGAACAGAAGCTCAAAATTTTATTCAGCTGCATTAATAGTCGACTGAAAAACAGGAACTCGATCGCAGTACTGAGGGATAATTATGTCACAGAAATCTTTGAAACCAATGAGAATGCCGGATACTTAGGACGGTACTTTGCCTCGGATTTCACTAGGGAATTTCTATGTAAATTTATTTTTTCTTGCTTTGATGGGACCCCGAAGCGTCTTTAATAAAATTATTATTACTTGTTGTGCGGACCGAGAGTATGGATTGGGGCGCCAAGGTGCGGGATTGACCGCGTCATCCACCTGCGCCCTCCCCCGTCTCCGGTCTTCTTGACCCTGTCTGGACACCAGGTACAGGTGGGGGAGGAGATAATGCGGTAGATGCTGCGTAAGTCTACATTCACTATAAACTAAATCATGCGCAAGTCACCGTCCCTGCTCTGTCTTGCAGTGGGGCACACAGCGGACATGGTCGAAACCGACGATCAAACCATTATGCACTACCACGCGTAGGTCAGTCCTGTCTGACCAGCATATTTACCCTCTCATGGGCGACGGCTTTTTCTCCCTAAAAGCCGTTTAACTCACACTCACTTTGTCTTTTCCAAGAAAGCGAGTTTTTTACTGCTCGCTGACCGTTTTTAGTATCCGACTGTTTGTTATATGAGCATGAACTGAATAATATACAAAGACTGACTGCTTGTTCAAAAATTCACTTGAAAATTTATTTTTTCTTGCTATGTAAGTATTTCCAACGGTACTCAATGAACTTTTTTATTTATTATTCATTTGATTTTGACGGAAATATTTTTTCAAGAAGTTTTGCGAGAGAGAGCACCTTATGAACGCCCTGGTAATTTTGAACATCAGAACGAGAGCCAGATTTAAATACTGGAGTAATAATGGAAGTTTCCCAATAGTTAGGAAAGAAACCATTCTCTAGAAAGACTGAAAAGAGTTCGCCCAACAGAGGAAAAGGAGGAGGATCTCTTAGCTGTTTAGCAAGAGAGTTGGGGATCTTGTCAGTCCCTACGACATGCAATTTATTTATCTGACCTATCACTTTATGAATACTTGCAGAAGTAAAAGTAATGCTTGTGAGAAGAAATACAGAAGGCTGAGGAATTGCGAGAATTCGGTTACTTTCGATGGCTAAATGAATGGCAAAGACTGAATTTAACAGTTCTGCTTCCCCGACTCCTATGTAATGAAGGTA